TTCAAGTATTGAGCTGGCTCGAGTTGGCACCGGGAGTTAAACCTGTGTGTGAAAGGGGTGGGTTACGGTACAGTCAGGACGGGACGGCTGTAGATTCACGGTTTTCTTTTTCTCTTTCGTTTCTGTCTTTGTGTTTCTTTCCTGTCTTCACTGGAGTTCTTGCACTGTACACTGGCGTTGGGGGTTTCTCAAACTCGGAATTTGACCGGGCGGGGTGGGGGGCGTCTACTGGTGTTGGCTTTTTTGCTACTTTATATCTTACACACATGTGGTCACAATGGAGGCGGGAGGGGTGGGGTGGTCTAATACCTGGGAATTTGCCCTGATACCTACAGGAGGAAACAACACTACAGATAATGCAGGAAAGGAAGGGTATAAGGGACAACAGGACGTATATACTTTAGATTTTGGGAGTTGGGGAGGGGTTTGTGTGGGAGTATTATACTGTTTAAGTAGCTTGTGTAAATGGAATCAAGGACAGTGTTAATGAACCTGGGCTGTTGGGGTAGTGATTCTTTACGTGTGCCCGCCCTGTCGGATGTGGCCTTAAGGATCGTAGGTAGGTATGCGTGTGAAATATGTTGTTGCTGCTTGGCTGTACTAAAGGGTGTTCATTACAAGGCAAATATGATCCAGGTAATGGTTATAGTAATGTAGACCAACTTCTTCTGTTGGTCAACAAATAGGGAGGGACACAGTACCCGGAATGGCAATGCAAGGTTTGTGTGTGTGTATTGTTCTGTGCCTACCTAGCAACACCGCTGAATCGATCAGCACCACAGAAAATGTTTACTCGTGATATCAATCTTAGCTCCATGGTTGACTCTCAATCAAAGCATGGCCGGTCGGTGATCAGTGTCCAAGGAGGAGCGCAGTGATGCAATGACCAGTTTGAACATTTCATGTGCCCAAAATGTAGCCCACATCCTCTCCATGGCACCTGCCACACGACTTCCATCCAGTTTCAAGCATGTCATCAGCCAAGGCCATATCAATCATGTCATACAGTATAGTAAACATCTCTCTCCACTCCCATGTTTAAATTAAATCTTGCCAGTCCCAACGCTATACCGATATTCCCAGACACCCCATCAGCAAGCTCAGTTCTTAATTTATTACACAAGTTACAACATATCCCCCATCCCATTTCCCCCTTATCTCCCCCCTTCCTTTTCCCTCCCCCCAGGTGCCTCCCCCCTATCTATCCATCCAGGTTAAAAAGCAAAGGCTAGCAACACAGAGTACCCTGAAGCAACGGTATATAATGCCTCCTCCCCCCCCCCATATGCAAATGCAACGCAAGTAACCCTTCTTCCCTTCTCTTTCCCCATAAAATCAATCCCTAGTCAAACGTGCCCTTTCCCAATTAGTTCCCTCCTTCTTTTCTATATCGGCCGCTGGGTTGGAGCAGAGAGAAGTAAAACACCCTCATAAAGTCTTGACGAGGATGACAGATAGCGTGGACAACTAAACCCTGCAGCCCTTGCACTTCCATTTCCTGCCCAGTTTCTTCGCTGTCTTCTTATCGTCTACACAGCGATCGTGCCACAGCCGGTTTGTGCATTCCTGTTCCCACAATTAGTCACCTGTCTGTCGAGAAGATGGCAAGAAAACATACCTTGTTCCCACAAACAACCATCTCACTGACCGGCACTGGCTCCCCACATCCCACGCAACACCCCCCAGTCCTCTTCCCCTTCCCCCCCTCCTCACCACCCCCACCACTAACCTCTCCATTCACCGCTTTGCTCTTCCTTTCCCTCGCCTCATTCAGCAACGCCGTCGACTCAATCACCTCATTCTCCCCCAACACCCTCCTCGCCAACAGCGTGCTAACATGTTTACTAAACTCTTCCGCCCTCGCCTGCTTCTCCACCAGCCACCCCGCCTTGTCCTTCACAAATTGCAAAAACGCCTTGGGCAGGTACTGCTGTGACGAAAGATGCTTCCGGAGAATAAAGGCGTCCCATTCTTGCATGTACTCTTTTTCTTCGTGGTTGAGATCGATGAAATCCTGCAGGGCCTCGCGGTGCTTAAGCAAGAGCCAGGAGTCGTCTATCGGGTACTGAGGGACTGGGGTGCCGGGTTCGAGGGCAACTTTACTGTATGGGTCAAAGAGTGGCTGCTTCGTCTTGGGAACAAGGACGACTGGTCTGGTGGGTTTTTTGGGGGCCGGTTTCTGCTGAAATTAGCGACTTGCTCTGTCCGTGGTGTACTGAATGCAAAAAATAAAAATAAAAAAAATAAAAAATAAAAAAATAAAAAAAAGTATGGTGGAATGACATGAAGGTAACTGAAAATCGGTTGTGTTGGTTGATGACGGTGACGATGTTGGTAAGAGGGATGATGCCGATAACGAAATTGGCGATGATGGGGGTGCGAGGCGAAAGAATGTACTGCTGTGTCACTCTACTAACTTACTGGCTGTGGCTTCGCCGGCTTCCCATTATTCACAACATCCCTATCGTTGTCCGGACCCAGCCTATGCTCAAGCCAGCTCTCGTCCCCATTCACATATTTTTCCACATCCAGCGGTTCCACCGGTAGACCAAGCTGGTACACCTTAGGTCTGAGCGGACTGCCCGGGTTCTCGCTGTTGGGCTTGACAGTGACGCAGCAGCCCAGCTTGGGCCGAATTTCAAAGCTGAACAGGTACTGCGGGTGGCTCTGGTAGTGTAGCCGGAGCTGGGTCAAATTGTCGTTCTCAGCGGCGCAGACGATGCAGATGAACTTCACCATCTGCACCTGTTCTGGGGGCAGGAGGTAGGTGATGACGTGCTCGTCAACTTGCTGATTCGCCCCATTTTCCACCGCGTCGCCAAACTTCCTCCGCTTCTTGGGTTCCTTCCCAACAGCCGTATTCCACATCTGCCTAACATTGTAGTTGACATTCTGTTTTGTGCGTCTCGACCTGTTGGGTGTCGTATCACCCTCAGGCATGAGCTCGTCGGGAGTGTCTGGGAGCGACCCCCCGTTGACCTGCCCACTGACACCACCGACACCATTCACCTCATTGGCACCGTTGACCCCATTGATGACAGCACCCCCATTGACATTCCCATTCGCAACCACCTTGTTGTGTCCATCAGGATCAAACGCCGTGATGCAAGGAAGAACATCCTTAGTGTGCTCCCGCATAGTCTTCTGGGTGGAGATGGCCGTCAACCACCGCACATCCACATCCATAAGAAAGTTTGTGGCGATATCTTGGCTGACATGCTTTTTGACTCTAAGCCGCATCGTCTTACGGTGATTTTTGTTAAAAATGTCCGCAATACTGGCGCTCATGACCCATTGTCGTGGTGGCAGCCCGCCGCTGTTGTTACTGTACAAAAGATCCTCATCGCTGACGGTGACGAGGTCACGTGGTGGCCAGTTGGGATCACCAGCAGACTGAAGCTCAATATGCACAGAGTACGTGTTGGCCAGACCAAACACAGCGTCGTCGTCGCGTTCGAGGGAAATTTTGGCTTCTGGAATGTGGAATGGTCGGATGGAGTAAAAACGCGCCATGGGGGACTGACCAGCGGGGTTCTTGAAGACTTTGATGTCACAAACCTGGCTGTCGACGTGGAGGACGACGGGGTGGTCGCCTTTGTATCCCATGATGGTGAGTTGACATCGAGCCTTGATTTGCGAGACATCTTTGATGTTCGGCGGGACCAGTCCGTTCATGATGCCATTTTTGACCCGGGGAGCATCCTTGTGACTGACTTTGAGAACCTCGATGCGAAGACCACGTTTGGAGTTGCTCCAGTCTTCGTAGAGAGGAAAGACATCTTGATCATTTTCGAGGCGGCGACGTTTGGCGGCGCGTTGAGTGGTGTCAAGCTGGTCGGTGATCTGATCAACAGAGTCACGAGACTCTGAAGATGTCTTGTTGCCCATCTGGGACGTCAGGCCGTCGTATGCCCTTTTCCAATTCCGATGCAGGTACGGAAGGCCACGGGCGCGAGGTTTTGCAGTCGTCATCGCTATTATATAGCATTAGTGGCTGAATGGGGGCGGAAAATGAATTGAAAGGTCGTCAGATGAAAGCGCCTTTGATGAAAATGATAAAGATTGGTGCCTGTCCAGGTGAGAATCAATGTAGCGGTTGATGACAACTGATGGATACCGAGTTCAGAGAAGGCTGCAGTACCTATCGTTGCTTCCCAGGCTGAGCGGGTGTTTTGGTAGCTCTGGATAGCTAGCATACCAGAGGCGGGGACTAAAAGGTGGAAGGATGACGCAGATGAAAATTACAAATGAATATGATACTCGGCATCGACGGCGACAATTGAAAAAAAAAATTGAATAGATTGAATTGCCAAAATGAGGTTCTGCCCCAGGCTGCGTGTGGGAGCGGCAGCAGGCTGACCATAGAAAAATGTGGGGAAATGCCGTCAACAGTGTGTACACATGTGTCTGGTTTGGTCCGTGGCGCTTGCCTTAGATATGACAAAAAGGGGGGGGAAATGGGATGCCGTGGTTGAAACACCAAGAAAATGATGGTGATGGCTGTCAGTGTTCTGAGAAAATCCAGAAGGGCACCGCCTGGCGCTGCACTGGCGCAGAACCATCTTCACTTGGACAGGAACTCCTGTACAAATCAAATACGCATCAAAAACAGGGCCAAGGGCACGAGGAGTGAGACAGGGAGAAGGAGAACGCGTACCTGATAAGCGAATGGACAGACAACGAGGCAGAAGAGAGATTCTACAACTTCGCGATTGTGCCACTCAAAAACTGTCGCGAGTCGTGGGGCCGAACACCGTGCTTCGCTCACTGAAATGGTTAGCGGCGTGTCGCGGTAGCAGGGTACTTGTCTGTGGGGGGAGTTTCACCCGAGGTGCATGTACCCTGTTAACAGCCCTGGTCACGCTCTTCGAGACAGCCGATTTGACGCCAGCTTGGTTGAATATGACCAAAATCACAAACAACCAAGGGGTGACTGGCTGTGAAGGTAGGGCTGTGGGAGGATGGGGCTGTCGGACCAGGCGGGGTGCCTGTGAAAAAGATCCCGGAAGCTTTGTCTTGACTCCTTGATGAACCTGCAAAAAGGACTCGGTTGCACTGTTTGAAAAGATGCGAAAAGGAGGAATCAATGCTCGTTGAGTCTGAATATCATCTTGTGGCCTCAAAACTGGGATGAAAAGGCTGCAGCTGTTGTCTCAGACTCTCTTTGTGGCGGTCCAAGGCTGGTGTTAAGGTGGCTTGCTAGCGCCTGCCGTCAGTCATTGGCAGCAAGAGCAGAGAATGTATAAAAGATGAGAAAAGTCGCCAAAAGTGTCAGACAAAATTGTTAATATGTCGCAGGATCAGATCTCATGACACAAAGCAGGCTAGTTGAGGGAGGTTCAGGGTTGGGTGTGGGTTGTGGTAGGCTCTAGGGTCGGAATCCGCTTGGCCACCTGCCGATGCTCAACCTCGAGGAACGGACTGCAAGATATTTGCGAAAACAACCGACTGAAGGCAGCTACTCGTTTTCAGAATGGCCAAGCCCAGCAGTAATCGGGTCCTGGGATTCGAGACCGATAGGCATGAAAGACTGGAGACATTATACCAGGGCGACAGCATGTAGACTAAACCCCTGAATGACGCGTGCAACACGGGTCAAGGGGCAGACAACTTAGAACAAAGAATGTTTACCGACTTGCTGGTTTGACAATAGATTGATGGAGCCAGTGGGTAAGGGCATGGTTGACAGTGGTGGTGGAAACCATCCTGCCGACAATGAGCTTGACAGTTCGTCTGCCCGTCATGGAAGACTTTTGCCGGGAATGACACATCAAGCAAAAAACACTAAGATTAGGAAGAATCTCGTGACACTAGAATTACTGATATCTTGCTAAGTCTTGCTTGTCTCGGAGCTTCAAACCCGAGTTAGTCACGATGGCTTTGTTAGTGCGCCTCCGAGGCCACAAACGACAGCCTCGTCTTGCTCAAGATAAAAATCAAACAAATCAGCCACAAAACTTCGATTTCGACCAGACTATTACCGTGTGTTGAAGGAAATCCCATTCAAACATCCACCAAGCTGGTTGTATGTTCCTCCAGTTACTTTAATCGAGAAAATGGTGTCTGGGATTATCTGGGCTCGAGACGCACATCGTGTTGTTTCTGATATTAGCTGAACCAGATCCACACTTTCAGCTCAGAGAAATTTGGTTTCGGGTCTGCTATACTAGAGAATATCAAAACGAGCTTATCAGGCTTCTAGGTGAATCCTCCTCTATTGTTGGACAGACGCATGCTTGAAGCTTATTAGACACTCGCCAAGATCGCCTCTGATGATTTCAGGTCCAAAATTATAAGTGGTAGATAAGTTACTTAGAGCAGCTAAAAAGAGACTGAAAAGACTGTCTATTAACTATTTGGATTTGCTTAATTGATTGGTTGATTGATTGATTGATTGATTGGTTGGTTGATTGATTGATTGATTGGTTGATTGATTGAAAATCGAGCCTGTGGCATCCTTCCGTGCCTGGCTACTACCAAAGTATGGAATGAATCTTGGAAGGATGACAGCCACGAATGTTGCCCTATTTGCCTCACATATAAGAGAAGAGTGTACTGTGTGGTTTTGGTTTCAGTGAGGCATACCTAAAACGGCTCATAACAGAGAGAAGGTGACAAGACAATGCTTGACTAGGTAAAGAAACAGTATGATGTTGGTGTTCCTAGACCGAAAACGAACCAGTTCCAGAAAGGCTGCTATACCTCGACGCTGTGTAATCGGTTACACTGATCAAAATATACCAGATAACCAGGAGGTGACCACACTGCTTCGGGAAACTTCATAGCAAGGTTGAACTCACGATCAATCCGTTATGTGGCACAATGGCTTCATAATAAGAACCTTCGAGGAAATGGTTCGCATCAGTGGTAGCTTGACTTTCATGTCTTCTATGCGCTGGATGTCGAAAGTATCATCAGAAATCAGGTATCGATTTTGTGGTCAAGATGCAATAAATATTGACGAAGTTGACCATCTCGTACGTTCCCATTTCATCGGTTGTAGGCACAATTTTCGAGCGTCGAATCTCTGATTGTAACTTGCTAGTAACCCTAGAGGTACATTGGGGGGTTCCAAGGGGTAATGGAACAGATGACCTTACTAACAGTTGGTGGTTGTGTGTATTCCTTGGCCAATGTCTTGCAACTGGACAGCAAACATGGATGCGCGAACTGCCAAGTTCTCGGTTTGGGCTGTGGTGAGTTGTGTGTTCGTTATGGTGCTCCTATGGTGCTCCTATGGAGCTTGTTGTATCCAAGGGCCAAATTAGTATCAGTAGGTAATTATTAGGTAATCATAACACTGGCAGCTTCAAGATGCACCTGTTAGTTGGGGTCGATAGGCTATGATGGATCAATAGATTCTGGCAAACCTATGCTTCTGGGAGAGGTTAGCTACATGTTGTTCGACAGCGAGCTGGCTCAAGCCTGCGTCACCAGCTCTCATCACGACACAGGGTTTCCGAGAGAAGTCTGTCGGTAGACATATCGTGGCTCTTGATTTAGTTTCCCAATCCAGATTTTGATACTCGGGTAACCGCTAGCCAACATTCGCATGGGGCTGTACACACACATACCTCGGACAATAGACTCCGTTCGAGTAGGTGTAGCACTCAACTTTCCGCCAGTCGATTCCCCGACGGTGACGGCCGAGTGATTTCCGTTAAACCCGAGGGGGAATCTTCATTTTAAACATGGTGTGCCATAAGTGGTCAGAAGTGATAAGCCCACCTTCAATCAATCACGAATAAAATAAACAGCTTCTCAACCCTACCTGAGTATTGGTGCGTCAAGCATAGGTCAGATAGTCGACAAGAGTCGTTACTCCTCATTGGACGGAGCTGACAACTCTCGACTTAAAGATTCAGCAAAGGAAAGAGCAACCTTCGAGAACCAAGTCAAGTCAAAAATGGCAGGAACGATCGAGTCCCACCATCCGGACAAAGCAGGAGCGCAGCCCATAACACAGATCCTCAACAAAATATCAATGTCCAAGTGGCTAAGGTGGCGGTCTCGAGCGGTTGCCTCAGTTAACCCATAGTACCTATGTCAGGGCGAAGTCAACCCGCAGCGCTGGCGCCGGCACTGCCTGGTTCGAGTCCGTGGTAAAGCTACTTTTTGGTATTGCATTTTGGGCTATACTTTGTTTTCTTAGTTGTTTCTGTTTTGATTCATCGAGCTGCCTACCCTACCGACCAGCAACAGCTCTTTTCCCAAACAACCAACACATCACCAAACACTGCTTCATACTCTCCAACCACCCATCGCCTCTTCCACGACCAACATCTCCTCCTATCCCGACCAGCATCTCCTCCTATCCCAACCAACACGTCCCCCTCCACGACCAACATCCCCATCCATCTCACCAACACCTCACATCACCCCCCTAAATCCCAAACCACTGCTCACTAGCCGTCAAATTACTCGGAACACTATGCCCCACCCCCTGCGCCCAAATCCCCTGCAACATCCCCTCCGTCCCATAGTTCTCCGTGCTGTAGTTCCTCTCCGGGAAATTCTGCACCGTGCTCGTCGGCGTCTGGCTCAACCCAAACACATTCGTCCACTGCTTGATCGTCTCCTGGTAGTTGTTCGGGCTCAGAGTCCCATCCGCACTGCCATGCCAGACCTGCATCCTGGGTCTAGGACCGGTATACCCTGGGTACATTGCTCTCACCACATTCCCCCTGTCACCCATATAAGCATCCCACGTTTGAAGAGAACAGAAAGGGGAAAACATACCACTGCTCAGCAGAAGCTCTACTCTGCCCCCCACTACAACTATTATTCCACTGCGCCACCCCCCCTCCACTACTAACAAAACAACCCGCCGGCACCCCGCTATAAAGCGAAACAGCCCTGATCAAATCAGGATACGCAGCCGCCATGACATTGCTCATCATCCCCCCCGACGAACCCCCCGTGACAAAAACATTTTCCTTGTCAATGTTGTACTTTTCGATGGCGTAGAGGATCATGTTTGCAATCGCGTGGCTGTCACCACCTCCGTTCCTGACCAAGGATCTCTTCGAGCTCACATCCCAGCTTCGATCGTCAGATTGGGAAGACAAAAGGAGGGAGAGAGAGAGAGAGAGAGAGAGAGAGAGAGAGAGAGAGAGAGAGAGAGAGAGAGAGAGAGAGAAGACTCACCAACCCCCATTGTTGGGACTGCTAGGCCAGACAGTGACATACCCCTTCCTGTCACTCCCCTGCCTCCAAGGGATCTTTGCATTATTAAAATAACTCGGCCCGGAGCTCTGGCAGGAGTGGATCGCGACAACCAGCGGTCCTTTTCCCTGACCGGACCAGGGCTTGTCAGGGACGTAGACGTGCCTGTTGCCAAATTTATCATCAGCTCCCAAATTTTACCAGACAACCCCCCCCCTCCTTCCTTCCCTCCTTTCCACCTTCACCCTCTGGGTTCCCATCACTCAACTACCTAAACCAAAGTCTCTCACATCCTATTCCCCTCCATGGAAAAAAAACGAAAAAAAAGAAAAAAAAGAAAAAAAAGAAAAAAAAGAAAAAAAAGAAAAAAGGAAACCACAGCCATCATGACCACGTTAAACAAAGGCTGCTTGGTGGAGGGCCAAAAACAACCCAACCACGCACACCATAAGTAATGAAGAGACAGAGGAAAAACTCACATCTGCGGCTTACTAGTAGCATTATTAGGATAAGTCACAGCCGTCAACTGCGCTCCCATAACACCCCCAGCAGCCAGGGCAACAAGCCGGACTAGAGTCGACATCGACCAAGCCATGGCTGACCGTCGGTGAGTCAATTGAGGTTGAAACGAAAAGAATAGAGTGGGGAGGATGACGATGATATCCTCCCAGCAGAAAGAAATCTCCTGCGGCCAAGACCTGTCACTTTATACTCTTTCCCTTACCCGTCCCTCCTACTCACCATCCCCCCATCAATCCCCTTTCCATACCCCCATGATCCCCAGGCCTGGATCGACACCCCGGATTCACATCACATGGTTTAATCCCCGGATATTACCCCCCAAAGCCCTCCATTCGACGGACTCTTAAAATCCCGTCACCCATACGACAACTGCTCTTTCACAAAGCACAGAGGACGACACAGGCTAAACCTTCATTTACTATATATCAGCAATCAAAATCTCCCATTGGCCCCCCCTTTTATCCCACCACCATGTGTACCAAATCTAATGCCGAGACTTTCACACACAGACATCAGACGAAATGGAACAGACATAACAAGGGGATACACACAGAGATAACGTGGAAAGACTCAATTGATACACAGCTCACAAAAGAAACTTGACTGAGCTAGGGAACTCCCCGGAAACCATTTTCGCTTCTATACACAGGTCGCCGATTCCTTCCCACTTTTACACCTCGCCACCACCAAATTAAGCGCTCGCCTCAAGCTCGGCAAGAATCTTCTCACCCTTGGCGCGGGCGGAAGCAAAGTCACCAACCATGTAGAAAGCACCCTCGGGGAGGTCATCACCCTCACCAGAAAGAATGGCCTTGAAGGAGGCGATGGTGTCCTTGAGGTCGACGAGCTTACCCTCGATACCAGTGAAAACCTGGGCGACAGTGAAAGGCTGGCTCAGGAAACGCTGGATCTTGCGGGCACGCTCGACGGTAAGCTTATCGGCTTCAGAAAGTTCGTCCATACCAAGAATGGCAATGATATCCTGAAGAGACTTGTACTCCTGGAGGATCTGCTGGACACGGGTGGCGGTCTGGTAGTGCTCCTCACCGACAATGCGGGGGTCGAGCATACGAGACTTGGAGTCGAGAGGGTCGACGGCGGGGTAGATACCCAACTCGGAGATACCACGGGACAAGACGGTGGTGGCGTCCAAATGGGCGAAGGTGGTGGCGGGGGCAGGATCAGTCAAATCGTCAGCAGGGACGTAGACGGCCTGGACGGAGGTAATGGAACCCTTGGTGGTGGTGGTGATGCGCTCCTGCATACCACCCATGTCGACGGCGAGGGTGGGTTGGTAACCAACGGCAGAGGGGATACGACCAAGAAGGGCAGACACCTCGGAACCGGCCTGGGTGAAGCGGAAAATGTTGTCAATGAAGAGCAACACTGAGAAGCATCAGGTTAGCGTTTTGCCCGACTCTCCAAGAATTGAGGCATATATATAACTCACCATCCTGACCCTCCTCGTCACGGAAGTACTCAGCGACGGTAAGACCGGTAAGGGCGACACGGGCACGGGCTCCAGGAGGCTCGTTCATCTGACCGAAGACCAGGGCGACCTTGGACTCGCCATCAAGCTGAATGACGGAAGTCTCCTGCATTTCGTGGTACAGATCGTTACCCTCACGGGTACGCTCACCGACACCAGTGAAGACGGAGTAACCACCGTGGGCCTTGGCGATGTTGTTGATGAGCTCCTGAATGAACACAGTCTTGCCGACACCGGCACCACCGAAGAGACCAATCTTTCCACCACGGGCGTAAGGGGCGAGGAGGTCGACGACCTTGATACCGGTAACGAGAATCTCGGCGGTGGTGGACTGCTCAATGAACTCGGGAGCCTCGGCGTGAATGGGGAGGCGCTTGTCAGTCTTGATGGGTCCACGCTCGTCGATCGGGTCACCGGTGACGTTCATGATACGACCAAGAGTGGCAGGGCCGACACTAGCAAACGTCAGTTGGGTGTCCCCGATCATACTCTGTTGTCCTTGTCGTCAAATAAACTCACGGGATGGTGATGGGAGCACCGGCTGTGACATGGTTAGCTGTCTGATATTGGACATGCTGGTGTAGTTGAGGGTAAAAAACTCACTATCAACGGCCTTGGCGCCGCGAACCAGACCCTCGGTACCTAAATAGCGTCTCAGAAAATAGTCCAACAACTGCCGGATATAGCGGAAACCAACCGTCCATGGCAATACATCTCACGACACTCTCCCCGAGATGTTGCTGTGCGGGCTGTCAGTACACGTGTGTGATTGGTAGGATGTGGAGGTGGGAGTCTTGGCGTACCGCGACCTCGAGGACAAGCTTGTTGCCACCGTTTTGGGTCTCAAGGGCGTTGAGAATGGGGGGGAGCTTCTCGGTGTCGAACTTGACTGTGGGCAGGGGGTCAGCGACAATGAACTCGGGGACATTGTCAAGATTGTTTTTGCTGGGTGGTGTTGCGGTTACTAACCATCGACGACGGCACCTGTTGGTTGGGAGAGACATGGTTAGCTGAATTTTCCCGGATTGTCCCACCTCTAGTGTGGGCGCATGCTTGTCTGGCCGGTCGAGCTTACCGATGACCTGGTAGATCTTGCCATCACCAACACCGGCCGTGCTGGCGAATCTGCTGAGGGCAGGGGCTCTGAAGTTGAGGGGGGCCGGGCGAACGGCGCGACGAGTCGCCGCCGCGAAGGAGGGACGAGCCGTCCGGGCGAAGGCGGAAATGCCGCTGTTGAGGGGGAGGGCAGAAGAGCCTTGGGTTAGTTCTCAATTGGCCTCGATTGGGGACCGGGAAGCCGACGACAGGGAGAGTCCATGGCTGGATCAGCAGCAACTCACCTCTTGAACATCTTGACGATGGTAAGGGCGGACTTGGATGGTGGATGTGCAAGGCAGAGAGAATGGCTTGGAGGAGGAAGAAAACGGGTTCGAAAATCTCTCGATGAGCTTTCGGCTAGAAGCTGCGGAGCTCCATCTTTCCACGTGACCTGACGGATTCCAAGTTTGGAGCTTTTTGACTGAGCGGACCCACATTTTATCGACAGCACCAGCCATTCTGTTGGCTTCCAGCTCTTCCCTTCTTTCCTTTCCCCGATCTCTCACGAACCTGTCGAGGTCTTTCCCCTCACCACTGTAACTATCTAGCAGGTGATGGTCCGTGGTCCCCCGCTCTTGGGCCAATCCTTTTGCAATTTTCAAGGGGAGCTCTGGACTCGGTTGGAATATTGCATCATGGCAGTTGCATATTCTTTTGGGCGTTGGTTTCCCCTCAATGGCCGTTGCCAACCCTGAGAACTGTCCCGCTGCTGTTGAGATGGCTTGCCGGGACGTCCCGGGATGGAGCCCCTGGAGCTGATTGGGTTTTGGCTGAACTCAATTGTCAGCTTGGATCCTCGCACGAACGAAGCTCCTCCCACTCAAGACTTTTGAAACATAACACACCAATTGCTCAATGTACATTCTCATACATTTCTTTGTGAACCTGTCTATCTTTGGGGATTTTCCCATCCGCTTTTACAAGAAAATATCTACACCAAGAATATGCCTCCAACACCTTTTGATAACCCAGTATTTAAAAGCCACCTAACCGGGTGACCCAAGACACCGCCTGCTGCAGTCAGTGACCGTTGGGAGTGGTGGTCGACTCCAAAGCAAAGACCAGAGCAGTCCTGCAAGGGAGGTAGATATGAGTGCAGTTCCTCCGGTGGTTCCACTCCAGAGGCTCGGTGAAGAACCGTGTGTTCGAGTCGACTCTGCTAAAGCCGCCGTGCTCCTTGGTGTCAGAGTCGAGCACAACCCTATATGTGCCTGCGACATCGACACCGATGCGGTAGTTCTCAAAGCTCTGTGTTGGGTGGAAGTTGAAAGCAAACACCACGCCAGCCCGCTCAAAGATGATGACCTTGTCACCCTCGTGCTTGAGCGAGATGTACGCCTGGGGAGCATGCAGCCAGCCATACTTGTTCTCGCACAAGTTCATGGAGCGGTCAAAGTTGTTGAGGAACTGATACCGAAGGAGGCGGTCCTCGGTCAGGTTCAGCTGGCGGCGAGCATACCAGAAAGAGTTCTGATTGCCCTCGCGGGGGAAGTCCAACCACTCGGGGTGACCAAACTCGTTGCCCTCAAAGTTGAGGTAGCCCTCGCCTCCGAGAGCATGGGTCAACAGACGGATCATCTTGTGCAAGGCCATACCGCGGTCAATAACCGGGGTCAATGGGGTGAGCGTAGACATATGGGTGTAGAGCTCAGCGTCGCACAGATGCATCATGAGAGACTTGTCACCGACAAGACTAGAGTAGAGTTAGCATCGAAATAGCAAATCTCTTGGGTGAGGAGAAACGTACGCTTGATCGTGACTCTCGGCATAGGCGATCGTCTTTTCGCCGTGGCGGCGGTTGGTGAGGGTGAAGGTAATGTTGCCAATGTCCCACTCCTCATCCTTCTTCTCCTTGAGGATCTTGATCCACATGTCGGGAATGGCCATGGCAAGTCTGTAGTCGAAGCCAACACCACCCAGTGAGAGTGGCAGACAAAGCGCCGGCATGCCAGAGACATCCTCAGCAACCGTGATGACGTCAGGGTAGAGTTCGTGAAGCAGTTCGTTGGCCAACATGAGGTAGACAACAGCCTCCTCGTCGACATCAGCACCAAAGTACTCGTGGTAACCTCCCGAGAAGCCGCTGTTAAGTGTCGGTCAATGACTGCCACGGGGTTGGGGATAGGCTCTAAGACTTACGTTCCAATACCGTGATGAAGGTAAAGCATGCTAGTAACACCGTCGAACCGGAATCCATCAAAGTGGTACTCGTCCATCCAGAATCTCAAGTTGCTCAAGAGGAATCTGAGCACCTCATGGTGGCCATAGTTGAACAGTCTGCTGTCCCAGAGCTCGTGCTTTCCTTTGGCACCCGCGTGGAAGTACTGGTGGTCTGTGCCATCAAACTCGTTCAGGCCGTCCAGGACGTTCTTGGAAGCGTGACTGTGAACAACATCGAGAAGAACAACGAGTCCCAGGCTGTGAGCCGTGTCGACCAACTCCTTCAGGTCCTCAGGCGGGCCATATCTGCTGCTGGCGGCGAAGAAGTTGTTGACCTGGTAGCCGAAGCTGGCATAGTAGGCGTGTTCCATGATGGCCATGAGCTGGATGGCGTTGTAACCCAGGCTCTTGATGCGTGGGAGCATGTTCTTGGTGAATTCCTTATAGGTGGTAACCCTGAGCTCTGGTGACGAGATACCGACATGGGCTTCGTAGATCCTCAAGCTCTCTGGCCTCTTGGGCCTCTGGTGCTTGAAAGAGTACCTCTCAGAGGCGGGGGGGTTCCAGAACCGAGCGTCGTAGGCGGGCGAGACGGAGAGATCCTGGGTGACATACTTGATCCAGGCCGGTAGTCTGTCGATCCACTGCCCGTCTGGGAGCTCAAGAGAGATCTTGATCTTGGAGTTGTGGGGGATGGCAGCTTTGCCGTCAGAGGTGGGAGGAATGGTGATCTCAAAGACACCAAAGTCGTTCCTCGTCATGCGATGGGCATTGCGGTCCCAGTTGTTGAATTCACCAATGACAGCTGCCTGTTTGGCATTGGGTGCCCATTCCTTGTAGTAGATGCTGCCGTCGTCATTTTGATGGATGCCAAATGTGTCGGCGCCCTGGGATGGTCAGTAAAGTCCCTGTCATTGGCAGTGGTGGATCATACCTTGCTGAACTTGTCCAGACCACCTTCGGTCTTCTCAATCTTCTTGATCCATTCTTGAGCCTTGTCAAAGCGTCTCTTCAACGCAGGCTTGAATGGCTCAAGATAGGGATCGAGGGCAACCACGCCTGATTCATGTCAGCTTCACTGCCAGTCCACATCTTGGCATGTTGGGATAGGACGTACCAGTTCCATCATTGGGGATGTTACCAGCGGTATGACCATTCTTGGCCAGGGTGTTGGACGATTCAAGAGCAACGGGATCCATCTTGTTTGATGAAAATTTGTGAATTGAAGAGTACGTCAAACAGGAATATCAAATCGCCTCGTAGGGTGCTTCTTAGCGTGACTTGAAGGAGGGGCAGCCAGCTGACGCTTCCGGGACAAGCTATCAAGACGAGAACGCTTTCAAATTGTTGCTTGGGTGGGAAGAAGACGTCGAGGAGAGAAACGAAAGATTGGGCTTTCGCTGGGTTCGACACAGATATAGATGGTGTGTTCTGGGAAGATGTGGTGTGAGGTTGATAAAAGCCCAAAGGGGTCTTTCAGTTGGTATGTAGATGCTAATTACATCATTGGAGCCCCTCCTAGTGCAGCCCAATACAACCCACCAGTGGGAAGGGGCTCCACGCCTGGTGCAAACCCAGCGTGTATTTGTGTGCGTGTATTACCTGCAGCAATGCCCCTTTCTGTGCCGTGCCCGTTGGGAGCCAAAACTCATGCGCCATTCATCTGTGACCTGCCCCTGGAGGGGAGTCTGAAGCCCGCTTATCGCAGAGATGCAGCAGTCCGACCAGTCCAGCCCACGCCAGCCGAAGTTCGGACAAGAAGAGATAGAGAGGGGGAGCTGATATCGACGCCATGACCCGATTCGCCTCCTCTGGCTGAGCTAGGTTTGGTGGGGTCCTTGCTAAGATGACACTGACACTGACACTGACGAGCACTGACGGGCAGACAAGGAGGGGAGCTTTCCGGAGCTCAGGTGGAGGTGGAGAGCTCTCTCCAGGGAGATGCGCGACGCGCGGGCGGTGGTCGGTGCTTCTCCCCCGCACTCCGGGTCATCCAGGTGCTCTAACCACCGTTGCCATTGTCTCACGGGCTAGCACAATGATGTGTGCCATCGCAAACACTCCCTTCTCGGTTTTTCTCCATCCTGACTGATACCGGCAAACCTCTTGTTACTAAAACATTCTTAAATCACCTACGCCTCTTCCTGACTCTTACCGTCCGTGCTCCGACCCCTACCACGTACGCCGATCGCACCCGCGAGCTGCCTTCTCCCGAGCATGACAGTAGCTCAAGCATACCATCATGTTGGTCTTGACTAGACCGCTGGCGCCTCTATGCGCAACTCCGCGATTTGCCCGGCTTCGGAGCCCAGCCTATTCAACCTCGAGCATCCTCCTCGCCTCCCCCCGCCGATCTAATTACTTCAACTCAGGCTTCACGTCAAGCTACGATCCGACACAGGACACCGGCCGCGGTCCCATCTTCTCCAAGTCCAAGTTTGGCGTCCCGCAGTTCTACCCCCGAGATCTGAAAAAGAGGGTAGACGACTACGTGGTGGGCCAGGACCGGGCGAAGAAGACCATCTGCTCCGTCATCTTCAACCACTACCAAGGGCTCCGGCGGCGTCAACACCACGAGCTGCAGGATCAACATCTGAGGGAAAAGATCCAGAGACAAAAGTTTGCTCAGGACCGCGAGATCTTTGAGCGCACAGGTTACAGCGCGCCTGTACACCCTGTCGAAGGTGGGCGAAGGCACTCTGATCGTTCTGCTTATGCTCCCAAATCGTGGCGGCAGCAGACTAACATCCGTCATGTTGCTGAAGACGAATTTCCCGGTCACCACGAGTCCGTACGGGGCACCCACAATGAAGTTCTCGAAGACCCATTTGAGGCACCCTCGGACAACTTTTACATTCAGGAGGACCTGACGGTGCCGAACCATGTCAAGATTGACAAGAGTAACCTGCTCTTGATTGGTCCTACGGGCGTGGGAAAGACGTATATCTTGGAGTGAGTTCACTTCTTTGCTGATGTAGAATTGGGCCCCTTGCTTACAGCCGTGCAGAACCCTCAGCAAAAAACTCAACGTCCCCTTCACTATCAGCGACTGCAACTCCTTCACCCAAGCAGGCTACATCGGCCAAGACGTCGAATCCTGCATCGAGCGTCTCCTCATCGAAGCCAACTACGACGTTAAGGCCGCCGAGCATGGAATCATTGTCCTCGACGAGTTTGACAAGATCGCTAGAAAAGAAACCGTCAACGGAAGAGACGTAGGCGGAGAGGGTGTTCAGCAAGCATTGCTGAAGCTGGTAGAAGGCACCAAGGTCACCATCACTGTCAAGGACAACCGGCCCTCTCGCACACAAAACCAGCCCCCCACCGGTTACGGATCAACCACACCACCACAAGCGCCCCCATCGGGGAAAGTCGACCAGTACACCATTGACACCACCAACATTCTGTTTGTTTTCTGTGGCGCCTTTGTAGGGCTGGATAAAACCGTTCTGAGGAGGGTGTCCAAACCCTCCATCGGGTTCGGTTCAGAAATCCGAGGCGGGAGGTCATTCTCCTCGACAAACAGTCTGAAGGATATCCTTCCTCTGGAATCCTACCGCCATCTCCCTCACCAACCAATCTTTGAACCCAACTTCACCCCCCTCGACCTAACCACACCCGCGGATCTCCAAGCCTTTGGCTTTATCCCCGAGCTCATTGGCAGGTTGCACAACATCTGCGCGCTTAGTCCACTCTCTCTCGAAGAGCTCTATCGCATCTTGACTGAACCAAGAAATAGCCTCGTGGCGCAATACACGGCCCTGTTTGAAACCTACCCTAGCAAGCTGTTCTTCACCCGGTCGGCACTGTACGCCATCGCGGAAAGGGCAGCGAAGAACGAGACGGGGGCGAGAGGGCTGAAGATGGAGATGGAGAGGGTGTTGGCGGAGCCGATGTACGATGCGCCGACGCCGTATGTGCTCATTACGGAGGCTTGCGTGAAGGGGGAGGAGAAGGCGGGGTATTGGGGGAAGGATGGGAAGATGGAGGTGGAGAGGAGGATTAGGGAGGAGGACGAAAGGATGGTGAACGGGGGGGTGGAGGTGAGGTTGTCGGCTGAGGAGGCGAGGGAGGCGGCTGGGTTGGGGAGTGCATAAGTACATAGTTTGATATTCAAGGCGTTTTGGGTATGGGATGGGATGGGATGAGGGTTTGGGTCTTTTAGTTTGGGCAACATTCAGGGACGGACGGAGGTGAGAACAGTAAACAGCATATTTTGATAGTAGCATTCTGGTGTATTAGGGATAGCGATTTTGAGTAATATATGAAAGAGAATGATTTGTCTTGTCTTAACTGGGAGCTATACAGTTAGTTATGTTGACTGTTCTGATTGCATCCATCATCCAGGGAAGCTCTCGGTGTAAGTGGGGCTCTAAGCGGGATCGGAGCCGGTGGCCGTAATTCTGCCAGTGAGGGGCGCTTTTTGGAGGGGCACTCTTTACTAGTCAACAGTCACAACCGCGATGGACATTTGGTGACAGATTTATAACCTTTTTTTTCTGGTAAGATTATTTCCTTCTCCTCCAGCTCTACCATATTACTCACCGTTCCCTTTTCCAGCTATCATTTCCCCATCTCCAGACCACAACCGCAACAATGCCACCACCACCAATACAACTCCTCCCCCTAGCAACCTTCACTCCCGACCTCTACACCCGCGCCTGGCAATCAACCCCCCACCCCTCCCTCCCCCTCCTAGCAACAACCCACGACAAGACCGTCACCGTGTTTTCCCTCGCGACCTTTTCAAAGCACTCGTCCCTCACGGGGGGTCACAGCCGCTCCATCCGATCCTGCGCCTGGCAGCCTTCCTCTTCCTCTCAAACCCTGCGTCTCGTAACCGGCAGTTTTGACTCCACGGCCGGGATCTGGACTTACAACCCTGCTGCCACGCTCGAAAAACCCATCGGTCAAGGGGAGGAGGAGGAGGAGGAGGAGGAGGAAGAATGGGAATTCACCCTCGTGCTCGAAGGCCACGAAAACGAAGTCAAGTCGTTAAGTTTTAGTCCGTCGGGACAGTATCTAGCTACTTGCAGTAGGGATAAATCGATTTGGATATGGGAGCACTTATCGGGAGGGGAGGATGGAGAGGAGGATGAGGATTGGGAGACGGTTGCTGTTTTAAGTGAGCATGATGGGGATGTGAAAACTGTGGCTTTTGCGCCGGGTTTTAAACAGGGGAAGAGGCATGATGGGAGGAGGTATGGGAGTGATTGTTTGGCTAGTGGGAGTTATGATGATACGGTTAGGGTTTGGAGGGAGGATCAGGATGGGGAGTGGGGGTGTGTGAGTGTGCTGGAGGGGGGGTTGGGACTGTTTGGGGGGTTGAGTGGGAGAAAAGGGAGAGGGAAAATGGGAGGTATCAGAGGTTGATGACTGCTGGGGCGGAGGGGGGGGTTAAAGTTTGGGAACTCAAGGAGGAGGAGGGAGAGGAAGAGGAGGGGGATAGTAGGTGGGGAGGGGTGCCGAATAGGATGAGGCAGAGTTTGAGGGAGGAGTGGGAGGTTAAGGGGGTGTTGCCGAGGGTTCACACTAGGGAGATTTACTCGGTTGGTTGGAGTGGGGAGAGTGGATTGGTGGCTACGACGGGGGGGGATGGGTTGTTGGTTGTTTATGAGGAGGATGAAGAGACAAAGGAGTGGAAGGTTAGGGCGAAGGTGGAGGGTGCGCATGGGCCGTATGAGGTTAATCATGTGACTGGGTGTAGGAGGTCTGATAAGGGGGCGGAGGGGAGGCAGGAGGAGATGTTGGTTACGACGGGGGATCATGGGGCTCTGAGGGCTTGGGAGGTGAGGATAGGGGAGTAGATGGAGGGTGATGGGAAGTGATGGGAATAGAGAATAATAACAAGATAAGCTTGAGACCATGTATGCTGTTTTGTGGTGAGGTGTTGGGCTGTAGCATGGTCAGGGTCGCGCTTTCCTTTTTTGTTACTGTGGGTTGCTCCTTCCGTGTTATGAACACCGCACCAGCTGCTCCTTCCTTGACTGACACTTGCTGCTTCTTCCCTCACAGGGTTATAGATGCCAAGTTTGCTCCTGCCTTTCAATCGGGGACGCCCGAGGAGGGGTGGTATGGCGCAGTGGTATGAGGGGACGCCCAATTATTCCTGCCCATTCCACCTAACAAAGGGATGTAAGGCGACGCTGGTGATTGTGGCAGGGACTCCGGGGTTCTCTGACACTTGAGGCGAATAAACCCGAACTCGAACCATCTTTTTTTCTTTTTTTTCTTTTTCGTTTTTACGACTTTTTCAGTTAATAATATGCCCTGGATTAACAATTCGAAAAACAAATCCAATTTAGCTCTTGTCTCCTGTTCTAAAAACAGCAATGTATGGTATCGATGCTTGTCAAAGAGTATATTACACCCGCTTCACCCGCTGCCACCGTTGTCTGTTTGTTTTGTCTGCAATCTTAAATATTCCAATCTATCCCCCCTCAGCTGTCCTGTCTCCCAGTTCTGCTCTATCTCCCCCTCCCACTCTGTTCCCAAACCCGCTCCGCAATCTTCAACCCAGCCAACGTCTGCTCAAACAAGCCAAGCACATCCTCCCTCCCCCCTCTAATCTTGGGCCTCTTCCCCTTAACGCCCGTCTTTTTGAACCGGGCGAACGCCTCGTCTATCACCTGCTGTTCCCTCTCCCTTCTTAGCTTCTCGGCCTCTTCCGCCAGAGCCTCGATTCTTTCGCGTGATTTTCCCAGGGCGTCGACGTAATACCTCAGTTCTTGCTGGTTGGCGTTTTTGTCTGAGAAGGTGTTGTAGAATTGGCGGAGGAATTCAACAGTGGAGGCGTTGGTGAGGTAGCATTGGTGGGATATCGAGGCTGGGATTGTCAGTGGTTCGGCGGGGAGGGTAGTTCCTGATGAGGTGGTTATGCCAGAGGAGGACAGGGAGGTGTTTTCTGCTTGGCGTTTCTTCAGTGAAGACAAGATTTGGTTTTTGGCTGCTAACCGGGCGTTGTGGGAGCCGATGTGAGGTGTGGCTGTGACGTGGGGAGTGGTAGGGTCAGCGTTGGCCTCGTCGTCGGAGTCGTCGTTGACACCTATGCCTTTTCGTAGATCGAGACCTCCTGAGGGGTCCTCGTCTACCATGTCGAGGTCTGCTTGGACTTCGAATAACACACCCGTGGGGTCTTGTTGGGCAAACAAGGCCTGGTCGGTGGCGTTGGTGGAGTTGGGTTGGGCAGTTTGGGTGTTGGTGGGAAATAAGGCAGACTGCTCCTTGAGGTTGAGAATGATGCGAGAAGAAGGGGTTTCGCCCCTGAGATCGCGGAGAGTGAGTTCCTCTATGGTGCGGGTGTCATCTGGGATGCCATTGGGACCGGCCGAGGGATCCAAGTCTGAGGGGGCAACGTCGGCCATGATTTTCTCAGATATGGAGTTGAGAGTTCGGATGATGGGGACGTTGGCTCTGGGACGCATCTCGACATCTTTTCTGTTGCCGGATTTGAAACCGCCTTGGTTTTCTTCGTTGGCGTTGATGTCGATTATGTGTGGGAGTTGCTGGGCAGCGTTGATTTTGCTGGTGAAGCCCATGTCGTTGGGAGCGTTCAGATACTTGTCGAAGAGAGGCTCGGTGTTGTCGATGTCGGTCACACGCTCGCCGCGGAGTTTCTTGCAGAGCTTGCTCAGGAAGAATTTGGACCAGAAGGTGGCCACCGAGACCTTTGGGACATTTTCGTTGTATATCCTCCTCACTAGAGGATGTTGGTGGAGGATGGTTTGAATTTGTTCTGGATTCAGACTGAGCTTGACCTCGCCGTCTTCGGTTCGTGGTTTTATCGTAGACAGCACATTGTAGGCGCCCTTCTTCTGGTTGACTTCGATAGCATGAGCCCTAAGCAGACCAATACGGGTGGACCAAAACTGAGCATCAAAAGCAGCATCTGATATTGATGGCGGTTTCAATGAGAGCGCCTGTGCATACGTCTGGGCCAGATCGTCGTCCTTGTTTAACAGAGACCGCTGAAGCTCGAGATCTGCTTTTAACGCATTGTCGTCAAACCAGCGAACAGTTGGGCCCTTGGAGTTGACAGTGCTGGCGAACGACATGGCCGCCGAGGCACCAGCCCCGTTGGCATCGGCCTGGGGGGTGCCGATAGGCTTGGGAACACTGGGATCATTGCCGCGCAGTTCAAATAGAATTTGTGATAACAGAGCTTTGATGGCATTGGCTTCTGCGCGGGCATCTGTCGGCGATGTAAACTGGAAGAGAAAGGCCGCTCCTGCTTGTCCTTCCTCTGTGCTCTTGGGCTTCTCAATCACCTTGAGAATAACCTTGGGCGCCGTGTCTGGCGTCTGCTGCAAGTTCAAGATCCTTTCCAAAGCCAGAGATACCGTAGGCGGGCCATTCGCAGGCAACGGCGACCAGATCAGGAATTTCTTGTCTTCTGTCAAGGTGAGGACGCCATCTTTTTTCTTGTAGGTCGCCCTTCCCTGAGGGAGCTCCATCACGGAGAGCCAGACTGCCTCACTGCCAACTCGACTTTGGGTTCCTTGTCAGGTTTTATAATTGCTGTATCAAGCGACTATGTGTCATAGAGTGTCACTCTCTCGCGACTGAGAGTGACGGATGGAGAGATTGATGAATGTGGCGGTGTGAATGGCGCAGTTGAAGTCGATATTAAAGGTTGGCTGGACTTTGAATTGACGAAACCTCCAGGCAACGGCGTCGATGCCAAGCCACACTAATTATAAAATCCGGGTGCTCCGTGCCCCAGAGTTGCTCTCGGCTCCGCAGATTTTCTTGGGGACGCGCCCGGGCCCCGGAGCGGCGTTAAGTCCCGGGATCCAACATCCAGTTTGAGCCCAATTTCAAATTAACTTCTAGACGTCTTCTGGAACAGGTGGTGGGAGCAATCTCTGCGATGAGATGAAATTGGACGGCCTACCCTGCTGCTAGTAGTTGATGACAGCCTTGGGTTGAGGTAGTACCAACTCTTTTAAGTACCGAATAGAAACCTGGAAGAGAAAAAAGACTCGCGCTCACTCGGCTTCTACCGGGGCTCTCGCTGATGTAACTGACTAGTGTGCGGGCGTAGAGCGGGTGACCACTGTTCTGTCACTGGGGCTCGCTGTCGGCGACTTGTCAAAGGGCCCTTCCGCCCAACCGCGAGCTTGGCCACATGACCACCCGGCTTCAGAACGGTGCGGGCTCAGCGTGGCTTCTGGTTGGTGCGCTGGGCCGAGCAGGGATGCAGCGATGCAGGGATGCAGCGGGCGAACCAGGGCCTTCACTGAAAATTGCCGTCATCATCCTCCGGAGACCCATTACCATTTCGCTCGATTTTCGTTTTCCAGCTTTTTTTATCAAGATTGAAGACAGAAAGGCCACCCCCCTGATCTGATCTGTCTTTGTGTTTTTTCCCTCGTCCCTCTGTTTGCCTGTTGCTGCTCCTCGCTGACGGCGGCATCGTTTTTCTACCACTCTCCCCTCCACCTACGACTTACTCCGCCGCTCATTTCTGGGTTTGGGTTCCAGGTTGTTGCGCTGTTCGGTGTAACACGCTCGGCACTACGATACCGCATCGATACGAAGTACCGCATTTTAGACGGGACGGCTTTGGGTTTCCTCTCAGCGGCCGAATTTTCACACATTTGCCTCAACTCCAGACAACAATTTCAAGTCACCGCCCCCTGACCTGGGATCACGACCGCCATGTTGCGCTCCTCATTCCGCGCGCTCCAGGGCGCTGCGTCGACCTCTTCGCGATGCTTCTCGACCGCCACAGTAACCGCCCGTGCCAGCCTCAAGCTCTCCGCGAGCCGTCGTCCTCTGGCTGTCGCCGCCCAAAAGCGCTTCGACAGCGCCCTCCATAACCCTCCCGATGCCGCCGACAACTTCCTGTCCGGTAACACGGCCAACTACATCGATGAGATGTACCTGCAGTGGAAGAAGGATCCCCAGAGTGTCCACATCTCATGGCAGGTCTACTTCAAGAACATGGAGAGCGGTGACATGCCCATCTCCAGGGCCTTCACACCTCCCCCGTCCCTCGTGCCGAGCAGCAACCAGACTGTTGTCAACTTGGCCGCCGGTGCCGGTGTCGGCATCGGTGAGGGCACCGATGTCACCAACCATCTCAAGGTCCAGCTCCTTGTGCGCGCCTACCAGGCTCGTGGCCACCACAAGGCCAAGATCGATCCCCTGGGCATCCGTAACGCCAACAAGTCTGGTTTCGGCAACATCAGACCCAAGGAACTCGAGCTCGACTACTACCAATTCACTGAGAAGGACCTGGATACCGAATACACTCTTGGCCCCGGTATCTTGCCGCGCTTCAAGCGGGATGGCCGCGAGAAGATGACCCTCCGTGAGATTGTGGCTGCTTGCGAGCAGATCTACTGCGGTTCCTACGGTGTCGAGTTCATCCACATTCCCGACAGAGAAAAGTGCGACTGGCTCCGCGAGCGCCTCGAGGTTCCCCAGCCCTTCAAGTACTCCATCGACGAGAAGCGCCGCATCCTCGACCGTCTCATCTGGTCCTCCAGCTTCGAGGCCTTCCTGGCCACCAAGTACCCCAACGACAAGAGATTCGGTCTGGAGGGTTGCGAGACCCTGGTTCCCGGCATGAAGGCCCTGATTGACCGCAGCGTCGATTATGGCGTCAAGGACATTGTCATTGGTATGCCCCATCGTGGTCGTCTCAACGTTCTCTCCAACGTCGTCCGCAAGCCCAACGAGTCCATCTTCAGCGAATTCGCCGGCACTGCCGGTGGTGAGGACGAGGGTTCCGGTGACGTCAAGTACCATTTGGGCATGAACTTTGAGCGTCCCACTCCTTCCGGAAAGCGTGTGCAGCTGT